TGGCCCGATTCTCCCGGGCGCTTTGGGGGCTGCGGCGGACTTCGCGGACCCTCTCTAAGTTCTCCTGGGCCGAGGGGACGCTCCCAGTGCGGAGAGAGCAGCCGCGCCGCCCGATGGGGCTTTGGGCTGGTGGCTGGGAATGGCCTCCTGGTGCCGTGGCCTCGTGGCCGCCGTGAAACGGTCGCCTCCTCCCTCACCTGGCCAGCCGCCGTCCCACTCCCGGGCGAAGGACAGATTCGCTGCCTTTGGGCCCTCTCTCTTGCCCCTGCTGGCTGCGGCCCAAATCTCCTTTCGCCCCACCGCCCACCCTGGCCGTGCCGCTCGTGCCCCTACCTCTCTCGGCGGAGGGAACGAAGGGAGCTCCCCCCGACGTCCTCCCCACCCTCCCTGCGCGGGAGCAGCCCCTTCCCTACCTGCACGTGGCCGAGAGTCCAGTCACTAAAAGTCCAGCCGCGACCGCGGATGCACACCCAGGGACCTGTCAGACCGCCAGAATTGGACAAGGGCGGCTGACTGAAACATGGTCGCCTCTTTCCTGCTGACCCCACTGACCTTTTGTGGAGGGGGTGGGAGGAGAAGGAAACAGGACAAGTAGGTTTTCAGAATCGTTCTGTTCATTGCTATATTGAAGACTCACAATGAGTTAGGAGGATGTCTAAGAGGGGTGAAAAAAAACAAACAAACCAGACACTGCATCTAGGAAATACTTTTCAGTTGCTGGCTGCCAGCCAGGCGCAAAACATAAAATACAATCCAGTATATCATCAAGCCATTGTCCTCCCATTTCTATCCAAGTCTGGTTTTCTTGACAAACATAGCCTCCCGAGTAAGGTAGCTTTGTGTAATTCGGAGCTTTTGTACAATGTCTACGCTGGGCCCGATTCTCTTCAAGTGCTAATTAGGAAAGAACAACTTGAAGGTTGTAACGAAGCCCACTCATTCATCATTCTCCTTTCTGTGTTCGGCTCCTCCTGCAACAACATAACCAAGGAGCGAGATAACGAGAGTCCTGGTGCTTCCGGCAATCCTTTGTAGTTTCTGGATTTTCTAAGATTGTAGCACTTGGTGGATGGCTTCATTAATCCTTCCAATTTCCACGTTAAACTTGAACTGGGAATTTGACCTAGCTCTCTCTTGTAACCTGTGTTCTGGTGGGTTTAACGTCGGGCTGTGAGCGGAAAGCTCAGCGGTTCAAGCCCATAGGCTAGTCCATGGGGAAAAGAGGAGGCTGTCCTCTGTAAATATTCCCAGCCTTGAAAACTCTATGGCACAGTCCTCTGTCCTTTGGTGTAGCTCTGAGTCCTGGGTTTACAAAACAGTGGTTGTTGTAGCTCTGAGTCCTGGGTTTGCAAAACAGTGGTTGTTGTTTAATCATTTTATTGGGGGTTCATACAACTCATCACAATCCATACATCCATCAATGGTATAAAGCACATTTGTACATTCATTACCCTCATCATTCTCAAAACATCTGCTCTCCACCTAAGCCCCTGGCATCAGCTCCTAATTTTTCCCCTTCCCTCCCTGCTCCCCCCTCCCTCATGAACCCTCGATAATTTATAAATTATTATTTTGTCATATCTTTCCCTGTCCGACGTCTCCCTTCGCCCACTTTTCTGTGGGGGGTTTTAATGACGGTAGCCAGCATTTTCACAAAGCCGCAGGCTTCTTCTTCATTAGTAGAATAGTGAAGTGTTTAGGACCTTCATTCAAATCCTATTTATGTCACACTTCCTCGATCAGTGACCTTGGCCAATTTACTTGACCTCTGTACCTCAAAGGCCTCATACCTAAACCGAAGGGTAGTGGGATCTAATCCAGGAGCCCTGGTGGTACTGTGGTTACCCATTAGGCTGCTAACCACAAGGTCAGCAGTTGAAAACAATCAGCCACTCCTAGGGAGAAAATGGAGGCTTTCTACAGTCTCAGAAAACCCACAGGGACAGGTGAGTTATCACTGACTCAATGGCAGTGAGTTTGGTTTATTATGTAATCCAAAGGAGCCCTGGCAGTGTGGTGGGTTAAGCATCGGACTACAACTGTACAGTCGGTGATTCAAACACAAATCAGAGAAAGATGAGGCTATCTGCTCTCATAAAGATTTACGGTCTGGGAAACCCTATATAGAATCAATCACTATAGGATGGAATCCACTCTATGGCGGTACATTGGGTTTGGGTTTTGTGTTATCTAATCCAGGAGCCCTTGCGTAGCACAAGCAGTTAAGTGTTCAACTATGAAGCTGAAAGGTTGAGGGTTCAGTTCCACCCTGAGACATCTCAGAAGACAGACCTGGCAACCTACTTCTGAAAAGTTCCTCTTGAAAACCCTGAAGTGCATTGGAAAACCTCGGTTGCCTTTTCATACTACCATTCCATGAACTTTGTGAAGCCCCCTCAGCCAGTTATTGTGCAGATTTTCAAAGACCAGAAAACCAAATTCACTACCACGGAGTCAATTCTGACTCATAGTGACCCTATAGGACAGGGTAGAACTACCCCTGTGGGTTCCCGAGACTGCAACTCTACAGGAATAGAACGCCTCATCTTTCTCCTCAGGAAAAGCTACTGGTTTTGAACTGCTGACCATTTGGTTCAAAGCCCAATGGGTAACCACTATGCCATCAGGGCTCCATTATGCAGTTTAAAACCCCAAACCAAATTCACGGCAATGGAGTCCATTCTGACTTACAGTGACCCTATAGGACATGGTAGAACTGCTCCTGTGGGTTTCTGACACTGTAACTATACAGTAATAGAAAGCCTCATCTTTCTTCCCAGGAGGAACAGGTGGTTTTGAACTGCGGACCTTGTGGTTAGTAGCCCAATGGCTAACCACTATATCACCAGGGTTCCTGCATTATGCATATTAAATGAGTGGAATTATCTAGGCCAGGGGTCCTCAAACCTTTTAAACAGGGGGCCAGTTCACTGTCCCTCAGACCCGTTGGAGAGCCGGACTATAGTTTAAATTAAAAAACTATGAACAAATTCCTATGCACACTGCACCTATCTTATTTTGAAGTAGAAAAACAAACCAGGCAAAAACACCCGGAGGGCCGGATAAATGTCCTCGGCGGGCCGCATGTGGCCCGCAGGCCGTAGTTTGAGGACACCAGAAGGCCATAGAAAGTACCCAACAAATACTACCTCTCATGATTGGCCACCTTTGTGCCTCTGCTCACATATACACACTCTAATCCAAGCCCTCCTCCAAATCTGCATGAGCAATCTTACCCATCCTTCTAAGCCCACATGGAAAATACCACTCTCACCAACTCTCAGAGCGTCTAAAGCTCTCTCCCCCTCCACATTTCTACAGCATTCATTACCTACACTACTGATATCATTCTTCATCACATACCACTGTTCTCTCATTGTTAATCCTGTCTCCCACATCAGGCCTTTTGAGAGTAGGGACTAGGTCTTCACTGTTTTCAAGTCAAGAACAGCATCTAGCAGAGGGGCAGACACATAGTAAACCCAAACCCACAGCCATGGAGTCGATTCTGGCTCATAATGACCCTCCCTATAAGACAGAATAGATCTTTCCCCACAGGGTTTCTGAGACTGTAAATCGTAACGGGAACTGGGGATGGGGGTGCTGGGCCACATCTTTATCCCAGGAAGGACTGAAAGATTTGAACCACTGACTTTTCAGTTAGCAGCCTAGTACTTAACCATTGTGCCACCGGGGCTCCTGTGAGACACAGTAGGCATGAGAAGAACATGAAATTGTTGTCCTGATAGATTAAACAACAACAACAACAACATAAACTGCCATCGAATCGATGCTCACTCAAGGTGACCCCATAGG